CTCTATCTATCTCTGTCTCTCTCTCTCTCTCTCTCTCTCTCTCTCTCTCTCTCTCTCTCTCTCTCTCTCTCTCTCTCTCTCTCTCTCTCTCTATCTATCTATCTATCTATCTATCTATCTATCTATCTATCTATCTATCTCTTTTTCTACTCTATACTATTCTATTTGCCTATCTTGCTATTCCTATTCGTCTATCTTGCTATTTCTATTTGTCTATCTTGCTATCAAAATCTACTTTATATGTAAATATGTATTCTCTTATTTTATTTTCTTTTTATATTGATATTTGTTTTTTTTTTTTTTTTTTTTTTTTTTTTTTATTTTTTTTTGTGTGCCTTTTGATCCAATTCGAATTCAATTTCGATTTAATTGATACAACTTCTTCTCCAACCATGTGTATTCTGTTTGTGTCTATGAAACGCGCAGGTTTCATGATGAAGAACACGCAAATCTTTTGAATGCAATGTGGCTGATAGCAATAACGTTTTTAAGTGTTGGTTTCGGTGACATTGTACCAAATACTTATTGCGGACGCGGTATTGCCGTCAGTACAGGAATAATGGTGAGTTTTAAACAAAATAACCGACGCAACAACATGAATATCAAGGATACCATAAAAATGAATGTCACTTTTAAGAATTATGTGAATAAAAATGGAATTGGAAATATATACACGGGAACGGAATTCATAACACCCACTCACATAGCGGCAAATATATATACAAATTATATATATATTTTTATACATAAATATATAAATATATATTCTATGTTTCTCTTTCAATACTAAACTCTCGCTACGAAATTTAAATCAACAACCATTCGGCTGATTGCGCGTGAATTTTATTAGTTTACGGTTGAATTCGACATTTATTTAAACCTTTTATCAGAGAAACAAAGCAAACTATATTCTTAACATTTATAAATTCTGTGAAGTGTTTGTGTTCTTAATGAGAAGAATATCAAAAATCCATTACTTCAAAAAAAAAATCTCCAGTTTGCCACATATATGGCAACAGTCTCGACAAGCCCGTATAATTGCTGAATAGTGTCAAACATTAAACACGTTTCACCTGATACGTACTAAAATTTCATGACATTTCGACCATTTGTTTACAAGTCACCGATAGTGGATATAGTGATCCTACTGTGTTGGAGGAATTTCGTCGCTTGTCATTCACTCGGCTAACAACACATTTGAATCTTTTTTCAAAAGTGAGCAAGTACAAGCACCGAATCGGAGCAGAGCTTTCTCATGGGCAAATATTTATGCCGCAGTATATTAAATATACTGTCTTCTGATATCTCTAAAGTGTCACCCGAATTTCACCAAAACATTTTGTACACTACTTTTATGTTTCGTGGAGCAACTGCATCATCGGTGCCTAAATGACTTCATTTAAAATAAGCAAACCATTTACAAATTTAAATTTTCTAAACAGACAACGGTCGCCATAACATCTTTCACGTCAATGCAACGTTTCACAACATACGAAATTCAGGCTTTTCCATTGTCTTCACAACTACAAAAGTTGTGGTACTAAAACAACTGTAAATATAGTAAATAAATAGTAAACTAATTGTCAAAATATCGTGAAATCTAGACACGTGCCGTTTGATCGCTTGATTTGGTATTACTTGGAAATCATATTGACCCGTTAACGGTTATGCCGTATATGTGTCAGACAGGAAACGTATTGAGTGACAAAATTTTAAAGTCGCATATATTGAAATACAATATTAAGATTTTCGCTTTTATCATACACCGTTGCTTCCATTCTACAGATCAATCTTGAAAAAAAAACAACTAACTATAAGGTATATCGATGTATGTAGATAGGTTGGTCTAGCTCAAAAATGCCACTTATCGGTCAACTGACAATGTAGCAACTAAAATAAAATTTTAATATATTTAAGGAAAGCGCAACGCTACACCAAGTAGCATGTTCTTAGGGATGGCTAGGTAGGAGCAAGGGTGTGTTCTGCCTACTGGGCACGGCATTCTGCGGTGTATCGCTTTGGCTATAGTAGTAATGAAAATGCCGGAGCTATATATAATCAGCCTGGAACAGAGTAGATATGCTTTTGCACCCGCATATACAGCCGAATAGATAAGAATGGCGATTAGGAAGTCAGTGTTCGCGGGTTCAAATTTCTTTGCATTAAAGCATACATAATCAGAGCTGTAGTAAACGAACCTTTACCGATTGGTCAGGCATTCGCTACGCTATATGCGGCCACTGCCTCCTTTTTTTTGCTTCTTTCTGACCATCATCGTATTATTCGTGTAGGGGGCAATCTCTGAGTGATTGGTTATATTAAAAGAGAAAAAGAAAGAAATCAGTCTGGAGAGTGACAGTTCACGCTCAATGCGGGATGTTCTGATAGAGTAAAGTGCGCAGCGACATTTTTTGACACAAACGCAATTCTTATCGCAAACGTAATGTATCGGAGCAGCAATGTTTTGCAGCTTTTTCCATATAACGCCCGAGTACAAAAAACCTTTTCAGTTTTTAGTATTTCTCGCTAAATGCTAGAAAAAAAATAATAGTTTCGCCCGCTAAATAAATGTAGATAATTTGGCTGGGATAGGATGATGTTTATAATCACCACCCCATGGAAGTCCTTGCAAAAAACAAAGAATTAGGCAATATTTTGTGGCGAAAAGAAGTTGACAGTTATAATTTGACGTGTAAATTAACTGTAATAAGTTCGAACAACGCCGGTTTACTTTTTGGACCGCTTCTCATATTGCTATTAAAAGTAAGCTTTTGTACAATAATAATGATTTCAGCATTTTACAACAAAATGATACGAAAAATTGTATTCGGTAAAGTGGTATTGGAAGCAGTATAGAGTGTTTAATAATCGATCTTGTGTGGCTATAATGCCGTCAATTCCCTTTACTTCTTCTTGTTCGAAGTATTCAAAGAAATATGTAAAAGCATCGAAAGTTTCTCAAAGTCTTTCACCATTAACGTCGAGCAGAAGTAGGGTAATAGGAAATCTAATATGTACTTAATTTTATTCGTTACAAAACGCCTTATCTAAGATCTATATTGTCCGTTCTCTCGCTACATTTAAGCCTAATTCTACCTTTATTTACTGGCAATTCGTATTTTCCTTAATTGCCATGGCTCATGTTCCTCTGATCCACGGTTGAGATGCGTCCACTGCACTCAATTCGACGATAATTGTCAGGGTCTTTTAGATAATTTGAGACCGTATAGCGGTACCGATTTATCTCAATTGGTGTCTCGGCAATTTTCTTACCGACCAGTCTCATCCCTTCAATTTACCTAAACTCCTCGTCCGAAAGTACACTTCTACGTAGCATTCTCATTGAGCAGCAAAACTATAAACGCAATCCTTCCCCAAAATTAGTTGAAAATGTTTTATTCATTTACCTACGAGCAGATATTTTCGAATTGGTCGAAAGTTATTATGTTGCAAGCGCACTCCGATATATCCAGGTAATGGGGCCACAGACAGAGGCGAAGGAAAAAGAAAATCCCCGGTAAATGGAAAACGTGTACACATCAATATTTATTGCAAACCCAGATATAATTCGCTATTAATTTGCGGGCAGAATAAATCAAACTATATTTGTCAGAGGTATGTATTAGTGCTTGTTGATTTACCAACGTTAAACCTAAAAGGAGTCCTGTTCACTTCATATCTTTATATAATATAAACATGAATAACGGAGTTCTCCTTAGTTTTTAATTTCAAAAGATTATGCTGTGGTAATAATCGAGAGAAAAGAAGGGCTTATTAGGTAGTCTTAATATATTGCGACATAAGATTAGAAGTGTGCTTGCAGTGTGGATTGCAGGAGACAAATTTTAAAAGAATTTAATCAACACTTGATCAGTGGAGCGATGCCTTAAAAAATTACGCAAAAAATGTATTAACTGCAGTATCCTGCTATTATCGATATGGTTGTTGTCGATTTTAATGTCAAGTTTATATGCTTCCAGTATTTGCGTATAATGCCAAAGCATTACAAAGGAGGTTAAGTTTCCCCAAGAAAAAGCAATAGGTGTATGAGTAAGATTTTGGCTATAAAACTTTGAACAGAAAGTCAAGAAGCTTCTCATTAATTAAAAAGTACAAACATTATAGTGAATCAAGGCCCACCACAAATTCGCTTAGTGCCATTATTCATTAACTTTTGAAAATGAGACTTTATATGTGACGTAGTCGGGAAAGTGATCTTAGGCATTTTCGATAGCGTTAGTAAACTGAAGCATGTCGGTTTACCAAATTTCATCGAAATATCTTAAAAATTGCGATTTTTAAGTTGAACATAAGAATAAAGGCGGGCGACTGAATAGACGTGTGGTGTAAACAAATCTGCGGAAATGTTGTTTATGTAAGACAAGTGAATTTGTTTTTAGTGTAAATCATATATTCGGACAAAGTATAATAAACATGTAAGCTTGTATTTTGGGAAGAAAGCATGTTTCTACGTTTGTTCTCTGAATGGCAAACGTTAAGATTTTTGTTGCTCAAATGTATGCCGGGATGACTCAAAGAGTATGAACTCTATTCATACCATTATCAAATATGGCCGAATTAACGTATTTTGAAAAATCTTCAAATTGTAACCTGTTTCGTCTCTGGAGCCTATTTCATCACCTTAGGTGTATCCGCTAAATTTAAAAGAACGCCTACAAAATTTATAAAATCAATTGCGCTTTGTGCATTATGAACTTTTCTTTGCTTAAATGCAGAAGACGCTTCTAAAACACTCATTCAAATAACACGTGTTAGTATAACACGGAGCAAAATTGAAACCGTGTTCGTATAATACGGTGAAAGAATGAGAGAAAAAATATATACTGACGGACATCTTTCTCTCTATCTCTCTCTCTCTCTCTCTCTCTCTCTCTCTCTCTCTCTCTCTCTCTCTCTCTCTCTCTCTCTCTCTCTCTCTCTCTCTCTCTCTCTCTCTCTTTCTTTCTTTCTTTCTTTCTTTCTTTCTCTCTGTCACTCCCTCTCATAGGAGAAACACATTTGCTATTCAACTGCCATAAAAATAGTTATGGGGTCTTACACCTGATTATTAAAACTTTATGGGCTGATAATGTATTAATAACTTTTTTGACGCCAACGTTTACATACAAACACTCCACGATCGCTAATACGCAACTAGTTACTTGACTCTAAATACTGTCTTGTCTGAGCACTAGGAAAGTGCAACAACTATTCTGCGCAATGGTCTAAGCAAAGTATAGTAGGCGCCAGGGAGAATCAGCGGCCGAGTGGCCGGTCGGTAAAGAACTTCGTTTTAGGTAAGTAAGCTCATCGCTTTGGGCTACGGACGGCTCATGACTAGTGTAACACGGATTCAGATAAACGGAAAGAGTCATCGTATTGTAGGGAGGTCTAGTGCAATCGCTTGTTGCTACACTTGTCGAGAGTAGGATCAGATTGATAATTATCAATTAAGTAACCATTAGTCTTCGTACATTTATTGTTCACATTGACTGATGTCTTTAAAATAAAATAATAGTTGACATGATCAAGTTTTGGTGAACTATAAACGATACACGCATTATTTATTTATATGTTTTAAACAAGTAAATATGATTAAATAAATGTTTTTATACTAGTTAAATAAACATTATGAGATTGAGCAGTTTTTATGTAATGCAATGTGACAGGATCTGGTTGAATTTTAATGTTAATTAACTCAGAGTAACAGAAGTTACTCATTGAATGCAAACACACATGCTTTCCTTCACTGCGTAAACATGGTTTTCATGCAACAACGGCTATAACAACAATAATTGGCAAATGACTTAAGAAATCAATTAACAATTGACAATCAAGTACGATAAACATTAAGAAGAATAACAACGTATAACACAAAACATGTACAAAATCGCACAGGAGAAATGTGTAAATTAATATAATTGTGGACATGGACATGCTATGAATACGAAACACATACAATCAGCTCAGCTAATTATCAACGCCGACTAATTTTTATTGTTAAATAAAAGCATGAGCGATTCCATTGAAATTCCTTTAATCAGTACGTTACAACAAAAAAAAAAACAAAATTAACTTCAGTTTCATAGACAACATATCAAAATTTTTAACATTTGATTTTCCAGATAGGAATCGCTCATATTATATAATTTGCAATAATAGATAATTTAAATATGCAAATATATTATTTTATAGGGTGCGGGATGCACGGCCTTACTCGTAGCAGTCGTATCAAGGAAACTAGAGCTGACGCGGGCCGAGAAACATGTACATAACTTCATGATGGATACTCAACTCACGAAAAGGGTATTTAATCGTTCCAGTCTCTCTCTCTCTCTCTCTCTCTCTCTCTCTCTCTCTCTCTCTCTCTCCCTTTCTCTTTCTCCTTCTCTTTCTCTCTTTCTCTTTCTCTATTTCTCTCCTCTTCTCTCTGTCTCTCTCTCGCTCTTTCTCTCTGTCTCTTTCTCTCTTTCTTTCTCTCTCTTTACCTCACTATGATGCGTTCAGCATTGTTTGCTACACACAATTAGCACACAATTTTATTTTTTTTTCGTATATTTTTTATTTCTATTTTTTTTTCTTTAAATTTTTATTTCTTATAGCATTTAGCTTCTTTTATTTTAATTGTTAAACTGAACTCAATTTATTGTTTGGCCCTATGTCTTTTCCCCTCCTTTTCGTTTCTTTCGTTTTGTTTTCCTTTTTTTTGCATGGTTTGAGATATAAATTACAAATCTATTCGTTGTGATTCATGATAATTCGTTGGAAAACTTTTTAATCGCATTGTAAAGCATTTATGCCATCTTGCAAAATTTTTTTGGAACCACCACCGCAGGCGTATGTATCTTAGAATTCCCAGGAACAGCAAAGCCCAAAGGCAAGCTTGCAAATACGCCTTGTTTCACATAATGTAGAAAGATAACCCGATTTAGTTATCCGATTGAAATCACGAAATGGCAACATATTAATACAACTAAGATGAAAACGTAGATGACAAGTAGAAGTCACATGTTTATGTTAACATGTATACAACGAAATAGAAAGAAATACATAAAAATGCTATCTTTCTAAGTTTTATTGAGCAGTGCATGTTATCTCACTACAGTGTGTATAAAGATAATTTTTTCGAACTGCGAATAAGTAGAAAGTTTTACCAACAAACACAAACGCAAACGCTCAAAGCGTTACTTTTCCTATTTAATTCGAGCAGAAGTGCTGGTCAGCCGTGATGGATGACGATAGGTGACCAGGATACCATCCTGTCCAAAGTGTAAAAAAGCATAATTCAGATCAGATAAGCTCTTAACACCGCAAGTAAAATATCCATTGCGCTCCATTTGAAGATATTAGCTTGGTGCTTTGTATTTTACATTACTACAGGGCATGCATTGATGCAATTGAGCTGATAAACACGACCAAAAGCCTCGATATCGCGATCTTTCAACATGCTGATTGCATATTCTGTCCGCGACGTGATGACGTACTGCTGCTGAACACTAGTCTTAATCGATTGCTTATTACCTGTTTAAGCAGTGTTTCGAATATTATGATAACACCTAAACGAAAGGTTGCTTACACGATCAGTTATCTATCCGATGCGCAATTGGCAAAGTTTTTTCTGTAATATCATTGTCCTGAAATAAAGGTTTTTTTTCTGCGTAAACAAATTATTAACGCCTTCTTTCTATATCCGATGTATATACACCTTTAAGTGAATTACGTTCTAAGAGTAGAAAGTGGATTCGGGGCAGCTCGTGACGCATAGTTTCTTTGCGAATCTACCAAGCCTATCAGCACATTCGGTCCGTAATTTGCCTTAGTTTCTTTGCACATTATTATCGTATGTGATTACATAATTTTCATAGCGCATTACCAGTTTCTCCAAAAATTGTTGGATTCAGTTCCGATTCAGCACCTACGAGCAGATGGAAACTAAATCTATTCAAATTTTTACTTTTACTTCATGCGGTATCCAAAAATCAAGCTTGTCTCCTTTTTAAAAAAATTTTTTTTGCTCAATGCTCAACTCCACAATGGATCCGATTTTTCCAAGTTTTTCGAACAATATCGTCGATATTGTCAACAGTTGATCGAACGGAATTTTTCACTGCGGAAATGACCAAATTATTTGCTGATTACGGACTTTCCTAGAACATCTCCACGATATATACCACGAATTTTTTTTAGCAAATCCGTGGAGACTTGATCGAATAAGCCAATATTTTTTTAAAAGTTTTTGTCCATATATCCGCCGTTTTATGGTTCAATGACACAATTCAAACTTTTCCTTGGCTTATTATAAATATGATGACACAATGTCATGAGACATGCACAAAGATTTTATCTGCTTGAGGCGGTGGTGGGTACACAAAAGTCAGTCTAAGGTAGTGAAGGTAGTATTTGTCACTATTTTTTCTTTTATTTTTCTTGTTAATTTTGACTTTATTTTATGTTTATTTTTAATTTAATTTCATAATAGCAAAACAAAAAAAACGAACCGCTAATATTTCTTGTTTCTATTTCTTCTTCTTGCCGAAATGCGAAAAACAAAACTCTAGCTGAAAAATGCTGCGGCGAATGTTTTGCGTGAAACTTGGCTCATTTACAAACATACTAGACTAGTAAAACGGGTTAATCCCGGCCGTGTAAGAACCCACCAGCGCAAATTCCTTTTAGCAATTTATGCGTGAGTATTCAAAGACATCATCCAGTTCTCCACCACTAAAAATTAACTAATCCTCCGACAGCGCTCAGCTGCTCGAGTTAGTCTTAAAACGATTTGCTTTTTTCTTTTTTTTTTTTTTTGTATTCTAATATTTAATTCCAATCTCTGTTACGCAAAACTAAAAACATTTATCGCTTCGCCTTAAAGCTATCTAAAAGCAGGAGCGTTCATAAATAAACGAAATGTTTTACAAAACTCCATTAAAACGAAAAGTTCCTGGTCCCATTGCTATGTTCCTACATCACTTCACCATGCAGCCGAGCATGTATTATGTTTTACTCAGCACTAGAAAATGCTGACGACCCATTAATATAACATCAGATATATGTATATAAAACACTAAAAACACGTCCAATGCTCTTTGCTTACCAATTCTACGCTGCTGTCCCTTAAAACCTTTTTATAAAAATAAAAAAAATAACAAAAAAAACCAACAAAAAAAAAAAACCAAACCAAAAAGTTACAAACTAAATAAATAACTCGTTTTACTAGCCTGTAATTAGGTTGTAAAGCCCTGTTTACAATACTATCGTTTCAAAAGCGTTTCTTAATTGCAAGCAGTTGTTAATTTTATAGAATTTCGTATCTCAAAGTTTCCATAATTGCCTAATGCGTATGCAAACTCTTATTGCCAATATTTATCTGCCCCCTTTTCTCTTACCTCATTAAGCCTAATCGAATCGCAGGGTTCGTGCATTTTGTTTGTTCGCCCATTGTATCAAAATATCGAACAGTAGAGTTTATTTGGTGGACTTACACATGAATGTAAACTCCAATTTTCACGTTGAATATTAGTTTCCCAAATTTCGTTGTAGTTAAGATTGCAGAAACCCGCTCGCCCTCTCCCCACTTTTCCTATTCGATAGCGTCTAAACTTCTCATCTATATATGTATGTATGTATGTATGTATGTATGTATGTATGTATGTATGTATGTATGTATGTA